AATTAAATTAAATTAAATTAAATACATAAATACCTAAATACATAAAAAGAAAGTTAATAACAAAAAAAAAAATTGAATAAAACGAAATAAAATCAAACAATGAAAAATTAATTTGTACAAAAGTAAAATACAATCATAAAAATATATAATAAAAAATAATAAAATTTTTATGAAATAAAATAAAATGTAGATAAATTAAAAAATTATACAAAATCAAATAAGTATAAAATAAATAATTTAAATACCACGTATCTAATAAAAAATAAAAATTGAAAAATAAGGAGACTAAAAAATTAACCATGTAGACCAGCTATCTAAGAAAAAAGAGAAACCAAAAATTAAAATATTATATAAAAGGTAATAAAAAATAATTTACTGTATGAAAACAAATAAAAAAGTATACAAAATATGTAAAATAAAAATAATAAAAAAATTAGTACCCATCTCTGTAATAAAAACATAAAAATAAATATTTATACAATTAGAAAAGTAAATAATACATGTATGTATAAAACAACAAAAATATTAATTAAAAATATGTAAAATAAATCTAATGAAAAAATAAAATATAACATAATAAACAAAAAAAGGAAAAAATTAAAAAATTTACATAAATGAGATATAAAATAAGAAGGTAATTAAAAATAAAACCAATAAAACATAAACAACATAAAGTAAGATAGAATAAAATAGTAATAATAATGAAAACCAAATAAATAAAATAATAAAAAATATTAAGAATACATAAAAAAATAAAAATCAAAAAATGGCATAAAGCGAAAAAATAAAAAATTTGAATAATATGTAATAAAAAATTAAGGGCGGTATTATCACTTGCGAAGCGAATGAGTTTGGCGAAGCGAACGGTTTGGCGAAGCGAATGGATTGGCGAACGCAATTTAAATATGCATTAAGAGTGTTCGCTTTTACCAGCTTGTGCAAGTTCTTTGCATAGCGAACACTTTTAATACCTTCTTTCCTTTTTAAATCGCAGCGCCAAACCGTTCGCTTCGCCAAAATCATTCGCTTCGCAAGTGATAATACCACCCTAAAATAATAAATTAAGTACATTAAGCTAACTAACTACAGATTAACCGCCGATTCTGAGTTAACTACGCACTGTGAATTTGGCTCTAAATAAAATAAATTTTTTCTATTTCATGCTTCCGTAGTTATCTGCGGCAGTTAGATTGGATATACACTCACTAGAATATGTTACAGTACAGTGTTTTTTTTTTAAATATTTGCAATTTTTTTCGTAACAAATTTTTACCGTTATTTTTTAATATAAATATAGTTCATTCAGCGTCAAATGAAATATAGATTAATGATTCAAAGTTTTTACAAAATTTAGGAAAATTCGACAAATTTTCAACTTTTAAATAAATTTTTTAGAATAGAATTGTAAATACAAAAAAAAACACTGTACGGAAACATATTCTAGCTAGTGTATGTAGATTTATAAATCTTCTTCGACTAAACTTATATTATCCCGAAAGTTTAGAAAGGGTTTTGAAGGTAAGGGCCACACTTGGCCACATTACGCTTAGCTATTTGCTCTTTAGGTAGGTTCATTAGAAGCCTGCATCTCTTCAAGTTGAACCCCGCCAATAAGGTGGTGCTTGGCTAGTAGTGTCGTTCTCTCATTGTTATTTTATTTTTCTTGAACACTGCCCTGATTGTGTTTGTACCTACTGCAGGCCCTATGGGGGTTGAGACCGCTGCAGTCCATTACTTCCTTTCCCACTATCCACTTGGGACCTGTTACCCAAAGCAGTCGGATATCAATGTGTGGAGCAAGGTTGTTAAGTTTCTAAATGAACTCCAGAACTACAGAATATTTAGCCTCAAAGTAAAAGAGAGCCGTGAGTGCACCTAGCTGCCGCTAAGGGTTAGAATGCTCTCATTGCGGTAATTCCTATGCAAGTTAATCTCTGCACATAGACTACATAATGGCGTAGATCCTCGCTTGAAAAATTAAATGGGAATTTCCCCATAGACATAGATTGCTCCATCCTGGGGTCTTTAATGCCTATCACATAGCTTCCAGCAAAAAGGTTAGACTAAACAGCCAGGATGATTTAGTTGGGGTATAGTCTCTCCTTTCGACTTTCGGAATGAAAATAAAAGAGGGACAGACTGTCTTTCGTGACGATTCAATAGCACTGGATTGATTCCATCTACCACAGGGGCTTTGTAGCGATCGAACGAGTCCAACGACCATCCGACTGACCGCTAAGTGAATAAGTTTCTTGCCAGTTTTCCGTCTGATGAAGAAGGTCAGTATTCTCGGGACTCTGTTTCTTGTTTGATGGGAACAACATCTGGAGTGGATAGAAAGCAGGGCGAGTGTACTTTCTACTTCGTTATCTTGTACGAAGCGGTTTAAGAATTTTTACTCTATTTGAAAAACGTATACCACTATATAGTTATGCAGATACCGCTCTTCCATTTTTTTTATTAGTCATATGTACCTGCACTTTGATATGAGTTTGTTATTCTTCTAAAAAGATTGCCTTTTTCAACAAATGTTTATGTGTAAAGAAACACGTCGGTTTTAATGGCTTTCTATTATAGTGTTTAACTGTAATTTTATAAATTTTGTGAAAATAATGTGATGCCTTTAATTCAAGCAAAAAACAAAAAAGAAAAACGTAAAAATAATGGAAACACACATCTGTTCTCATACAATGAATTCGTTGTTGTTGGACATCACGTCCAAAGCCAAAATGTTGTGTTGTACAGAGTAGAGTGTAATGATGGTACCGCAATTTGCCAGCTTGCCAGTTTTGCGAGTACGACGAGTATGGCACAATTCGCAATTATCGCAATTTGGGGTCATCAGCCATTCAGGTCGACAACATCATTACATTAATCATTATTATAAGATGACAGTGAAAAGCAGAATTTTAAATAGACATCAAAATCATTTAAAAATTTCTCGATAATTTTATGTTTTTCCGCAGTTATTTTTAGTTTTAGCATTTTGATGAATTAAGTATTTAAATCAAACCTAAATATCAGTTTCAGTGAAAGAATTTTCATTTTTTTAGAAAAAAACAGATTAGGCCAAACTATTGACAAATGATTCGATTTGATATCAATGCATACAGATGAGTGTTGGCGTGCAATGGCTCTGTAAGCGCCTAAGCGATTTTGGCCGAGTTCAATAAAGCACGCCAGTTGCTCCTCTTCTGTGCTAACTGACGCAATTGGAAATGCCAAGTCTTTCCATCGCAGTGTGGTCTCATCCGAGGCTTTGTTCTGATTTTTCTTTGGACCCTGCTTTTACGTGGCGACTCTCAAACCCAGCGCATAACCTATTGCTGGGACGGGGGTGGTTTTATAACCGAATAAACCTTGATATTGCGAGCCGATTGTTGCACAACTACTGGTGAACAGACGTTGCAGACTTCAGTGAGCCCTTAAACCGAATAAGTCAGAGTGGCCCGCCGAAGCTCCCTCTCCTTCTGCCGTTGACCCAAGGCTCCACTCGGATTGGTGACCGCATCTCGCACATGGGTTGCTCGCGATACCCACAGTACGCGAACGAGGATGCAAGAGGGCTTAGCTTAGCTTTGAAGGCTTTATCTTTGTGAAAAAAAAAATATATATTTTTTTTTAACTTTCTAATTTCTGTTTTCCTTGCACTTCTCTTCTTCCTCTTTCCTATTGAGTCCTATGGAAGTTTTTTAATTACTACAAGTAAAGTTTTCGCTTTGTCATAAATATATAAAAGCGAAAGGCCTAATCTAAAGTTGAGACTTCAATTTGCAAATCACTGATTAGATGTTTAATGGACTTTCAATATAAAGTTGTAACTATAAATTAATACATCTACGCATACAACATATGTATTTGTGTGCGTGTGTGCTTTCATATAAGCACATTAGGCCGTACTACCTTACAAGCAAACAAAAAAGTTCGCCGTACACTCCTGAGTCTAAAATACTTTTGCCAGACAATTTCGAAAAACTTTTTTTTTTTGGCCGAAACTAGAGGTTGCCTTTTTAAATTTTACGGTGACATCTACTTTCGGGAGTAAAAAAATTCATTTTAAAATTAGTTCTATTGTAACAATCGAAATACTTTCTTAGCAAAGGTTTAATGATTGTTTGGAGAGATTTGATTTATTGACAATAGGAGGTGCGTTAAGTCAATGCACTTTAGAACAAAAAAATTTTCTTCTCAAGACAAGTACATGCGTATATTATACTTTCAGATTTGACTCTAAATGTCGAAGAAATGACGAAAAATGTATAAAGGCGTTACCTACGTTCAAAATTGTCTTTGAAAAAATACTTTCGTACGGCGAAGGTACGGTCTAAGGTACATATCGCATGTATGCACATTAGGGTGGTCGAAAAGTGAATGTGGGGGGAAAAGTAAAGTCGGAAGTTTTATGCTCTTACCCCTAGGATTGTTCTATACCGAAAAAATATACCCCTATTTTCTATTTTGAAATCAAAAATTTTTTACACTGATATAGAATTCTTGAAAATAATATTTTTCAATCGGATCAGGAGATTTCCAATAATAATGCCCGAATGTTTATTTAATCTTTTTTTTTCATAGCAACTATATTTTATAGGTCAGCAAAAAATCCCAGAAAATGCAATGGGGGACCATTAACAAATCTTCTGTATTAAAAAATGGTTAAATAAACGATTGGATATTATTATTGGAAGTCTCCTGAAGAGAACCAGAGTTTTCCAATCGAAAAATATTGATTTTCAAGAATTCTATATTATTTCTACAAAAAGCTTCTTTTTTTATATAAAATACATGGAAAACTTTGAGCGCTTTGAGCTGTTGAGAGCATTAAAATTACGACTTTACTTTTTTTTTTTACCAGCCTAATGTACATACATATACATTTGTTGCGGAAATGCACTTTGCATGTCCTTTTCTCGCAAAAATCAAACATATGTATGATAATAATGTAAAAAAAAAAAAACCAACTAAGCAAAAAACACCACATAAGTAATTCGTGTACTTACAGTCTCTCCACATCCGCTGATATCTTCCTCGGCACTTGTGTTAAACCACGATGCGAACAGTCTACCGTCAGGCCATTACACGAACACACACGCGGACAACGTGATTCACTGATCACGCCCAAACTGCCGCCGGGTATATGTATGCCCACCGAAGAGCCGCCATATGGTTCGGCGGCAACCTGAAGGAAATCACCGCAGGCAGCAAGCAACAGTAGGAGGAGGAGGAGGAGAAAGTGAGAATTTACACAAAAGAGCCAACAAAGGCGACGTTCACGACGAAGAATGATTGGTGGAAGGTGGTGGAGAACGCTGTGGCTGTTGGGGTGAAGAATACTGGCGGCGGCGCGTGTGTACATTGCTGTCGGGTGGCTTGCTGTGCGGGCGGACGATGGAGTGTGGCAATGTGCCGCACTTACAACACCATCACCACCATTACTGCTGCAACAATCGAGCGCAACAGCTGCCGTGCAAGCGTTAGTGTTAAACACTGTTTCTACACCACAATCGCCACCACCACCACCGCCGATAGAGGCAGAAGCAAAGGCGGCGTCAATGGCAATTGCACTTTCGCTGCTATTGCTGTTGCTGGAGTTGTTGTTGTTTTTGCTATTGCTGTTGCTGTTGCGAGCATCTGCTTGTGCATATCTACTGACACTTGCTGCGCTTAAGCTGCCAGCACCATCACCACCACCGCCTCCTTTAAATCGCCGCATTGGGGAGTAGAAGCGACGTTGGGGTTGCAGGTGCGTCATTGCCGTACATTAAAATAGCGCGAGCGTGTGTGTGTGTGTGTGTGTGTGTGTAGGTGTGTGTGAATGTATGGTGTATGAAGGAGGGCGCTGCAGAATTTTTGCTGAAGTTTTGGTGTAATGATTTTTGTTGTGTGATGTTTTCTGTTGTTGTTTTTTTTTTAAGGTGAATGAATACTGGAAAACGGTTTATTTTTTTTTCTTGTTTTGTTTTTATTTTTAATTTAGTTTTTTCTGTTGTTTTGTTAAACGTTTTATGCAGTTCCTTAGGCAGGCAAGGCTTCTGGCTTTGGTCATTTAGCGGCAAGCGGCGGCGTCAAGCTGATTTTTTTGTTTGTTAAATTTCGCACTTTTTTCGTGTGATTTCGAACAGCAGTTCAAAATTTTTTTCCCATTTTAAACTAACTAAATCACATGATTACGTTGTGTGGTAATGTACTCGTTATTTTCATGCACGCAATTGTTTCGCTAAGCTTTTGTTGTTGTTGCCGTGGCACGCAACAAAACAATTGTGGCATTTTTTCACATGTAAACAATTTTCGTTATTCGTTGTTTTTATTAATTTTCTCGCTGTTTTCGATTTTTCTTATTAATTTTTAACCTATTTTTTCTCTTTATTTTGTGCTTTTGTGCAATTTTTGTTCTTCGTTCACGTATTTGTCGCGCAATCCGCACCGGTAATCACCTACACAATACGTACCACCTTCGATTCGTATCGTCCAACTACCGTCGTCCGCACGTTCCTTCTAACTGTGTTGCAATGCTGCACTGAACACTGCCACACAAAAAAAAACGTTACACAAGCACACACAACTGTTATTTTAAATGCACATTAAACGTACACTAACAACAATAAAATAATTGGACTACACAATTTCGTTCAATAGCTGTTGCAGCAGGCATCTCTTCTGGCTTCGGTGTTTGTTGGTGGTGGTTGATAATTTCCTCGCTGTCGGCGGTAGGCGCAAAAGACAAGAAACAACCAATTCAGCGGGGCAACCACTCCGTTCGTCGTAAAGTGAAATACACTTTTCAAAAAAAAAAGAACGAGAAAATTTTAAAGAAAAAATATTCAACTACTCGGTGTACGCACAAACACCACTATGTAACTACAAAGCTACACTTTGCCAACCATCGACCAACAGTCGACCGACCTGTAGGTAGCGGATGTGCATTTGTATTGTAATTCAATACGAGCAGATAATAATAAATGCAGGCGGCGCGCGCTGTTGCTTTTGCTGTTTCTTATTGTTCTTGTTTTTTTTTGTTGTAGTTGTTATTGTTATTGTTATTGCTCTTGCTGTTCATTTGCCTAGCGTGCTGTGTGTGTTGCAGTTTTTCTGCTAAGCGGCGGCAGCTGTTTTAGGTAGTTGAGCCGTTGTCGATGCTTCTTTTTTTGGTCTTATAATCCTCAGCCTCGGAGTCGGCTCAGATGCAGGGCGAGCAGTAAAGGTGCCTGGAAAGAAAGAGTAGAAAAAGTGGAAAAAGTTAATGAACATGTTGCAAATTCAGCCTACAAAGATTATGTACAAATTAGAGAGCTGCACAAGTGCAATTGATTCTACATACAATAAGCAATAAGCCACTAGAAAAATTCAAAACAACGTTATCCTGTTAATTCTTGGAGAAGTATGAATACGCTTGTGTCATCCATAGCGGTAAACGTCTTGATGAAAATTGGGCTGAGCGTCAATACGAAAAATACCGATTATGTAATATTAACAAGGAATTAAAAGTTTCCAATGACGTGGAGCAGGCCTAAATTAAGAAGGACTACTTTACAAGAAAATTCTAACACAAAGTACGTTGGAATCGTACTGGACAGCAAACTGTCGTGGAAACCCAGTGCGGAGGGGCAAGTAAAGAAAGTATCGGCATGTAACAGGATTTAGGGCTGCCCATGGGGTCTTGCGATTGCTTCTTCACATTGGATACTTTAGTCTATTGTTAGGCCTATAGTATTTTATGAGGTATTAGGTAGTGTGATAGATAGTGATAAAAAAGAAGACGAAGAAGAATAAATAGAGACTATGATTAGCATAACCGGTGCCTTGAGGATGTATTTAGTAGTTAAAAACATAGCGTTTATAAATGCAGTAAGACTTTATGTCTCAGGTCAGTTTGGATTCAGGACATATGGTTACAGCAGTATAGCGCCAACCCTAATAGGAGAAATAGGATTTGTGATTCCGAGCCTGAGTTGCGAAAGGTCTCTTGAAGTTACTACGAGAAGTCGATGGTTGGCGTACGGAATTTGGAGTTGACGCGACGCACTTTTACACTGACCGTTCTAAAATGAATGAATGAGTAGGTGCTGGGGTTTACTGCTATGAATCAGACATTTAAAGGCTACCGGACCACCCGTACTAGTATTTTTCAAACTGAAGGTTTGGCAATAACTAAAGTGGTAGAGCTACTGCAGTAAACAAATACGCCTAGTGAGCGAAAAAACTTGTACACTGCGAGGCTGACATTAAGGCTATATATACTTTCATATACTCGTATGTATGTACATTATATAAGAAGACCGTCAAAGATGGTAAGAAAGCAATACTTAGGAGGGTTAGGCATGACATTAATGATCCACATTGCATTGGGTCCCAGAACACAAATACGTTGATGGTATGGGAATGAAAAGCTGACGAGCTACACTCTAAAAAGTTCATGTAAAACTACTACTGAAAAGTGTTTATTTTTCAACCAGAATCTGTGTAAATATACGTACAAGATGTTCAAGATTTGATTTTAAACAAGAGATGTTTAAAAAATACACATAAGTATACACATACAATGTTAAAAATTGCAAACATTTTGAAAGTAGAAATATATTTTTTACTAATAATAAACATTAAGTGCTCATCTTGACTCAATTTTAAACACTTTATGTGTAAGTTTTCTCTACGTGACAAATTTGGTATGTAAAAGTAAACAGACAGTGTTTAATTTTGCACACATCAGGAGAGGAAACTGGTTACCTCTCTTTATATGCGTCAAATTAAACAAGAATATAGTAGAGGAAATTTTAAATATTTTGTGTGTAAACTGTGAAATTTTGAACAATATCTGATTAGAACTCAGCTAACTAATTTGAAATTTATTCTACGCCAGACATATGATAAGTAAAAGTAAACGGGCAATGTGTAATTGAATTAACACGGTGTTTAAATTTGCATTCACTAAGAGAGAAAACTGGTTACCTATCTTAATATGCGCAAATTTAAACAAAATTTTTTTACAGTGTAGCCAAAGAGCGCGTTCTTCGAGATAACGACGTACTTCTGTGCGTACCAATTTCTCTAAAGGAAATTCAACGATCACATGAACTTCGCATGTCCTATTAGGCAGACAGAATATTGAAACGTACACAGGGCTGCAGGGTTGGAAAGGTTATCCATAGGAAAAGCAGACTTATCACTTCTAGATTGTATTTTTATCAGAAGCTGTTTTTCATGGCAAAAATACGCTCGAAGGTTTGCCATTGCCTGCCGAGGGGCGAGCGATATTAGAAAAAAGCGTTTTATTTTTTTTTCAGTGGGCACTACTTTATAGAGTACAGGGGATGGATTCTGAAGACTTTTTAGTCGGGGAATAGGAACAGCTCCGCTCCATTTTCATGTTACCTAAGTTGGAACACCTATCCGAATAACCCATGTTGCTTTTCTTTATTTGACTTGAAATGAGTTCTAAGTGCATTTGTGCAGCTCTCTGATACATATGTATGTACATATGTACGTACACATTTTTACAATGCTGCCTATCAGCTTCAGCTTGTTGCTTGTGCTGTTTTCAGATAAAGCAAAAGCAACGCGTCAAATAGCCTCAGGTAAGATTGAATTAAGTTAACCAGGCTGACAAATTCATATGTTTCAACTCAAGGACCTCTTTTTGCTGGCTGCCATTGCTATCGCGAGTAACAACTCTGTACTCGCATTGCTAACGACGACGATGACGATAACAACAGTAAACGTTGCCGCCGCCACGCTATACAAGTGGGTGGCAAAAAGTGGAGGGTTGCAATTAAAAATGCACTCGTTACTTGTTTTTTTTTGCTTCAAGTGCAGTTGCGGATTTCTACGTGTTTGGCAAATAAATGTACGGATATACAGTGGTGTGGAAAATACTGTGAATACTTGGGATGGTAGGAGAGTAAGTTAAGATATGGGACGTGAAGCGTTCTAGAATAGGAAAATAAACCTCCTACGCGAGAACGGGTCGATGCTCGGCGATCAGATCTAATGAGATCAGAATGCTACATGGTTCCTTATGATATCTATGCCTCCAGTGGAATATCGATATCAATTAGTATTATTGTACACGCTCACTCACTTGTACGCCGGGATAGTGATGGTAATTGCAAAGCTGGCGAACTGGCGAGAAAAGATACGATCACCGAGATCCATAATAGAAGGATCACGGTGTCAATGTCACCCTTTACCTACCTCTTACTCTTGAACTCGCCGTGAAGCTCGCGAAGGGAGCCTCGTCGTCTGCCCTTGTAGAGCCACATCCACTTTGCGGCCTCAGGACCAGCCGAACTTACTGCATAAGCGGATGATATTTCTGTCATACTAAGCGGAAAGTGTCTGTCCACACTCAGCTTACTTATTAGTCAAGAACAACGGATGATACATCTTTGGGCAATCGAAGTGAGGCGGGCCTAGTATCAACGCAGAAAAGACAGATTTGCTACTCTTCACCAGGAAATACAAGATTCCGAAATGGTCCAAGCTGGATGAGGTGACCCTCCAGGTGAAGCAAAGCACCAACTACCTCGAAATAATACTCGATAGTAAGCTGTCGAGGCGCCTTAATGTGGAGGAACGAAGATAGCCTCCGTGGAATTCTATGCATGCAAAAAGATGCTGTACTGCACTGGATCTTCACGGCGATAGTCAAGCCGATACTGTTCCATGGGGTATTGGAGAAGAAAACATTTCTTAATAGAATAGAAAGTGCACTTTGGAACGAACTTCGAAGCCACTATATACTTGATAGTTCAGAGATCGAAGGCTGACGTGCGCAAGGCTGAAAGGTCTCCAGGATTATGGATTAGACATCGCCTGATGACATCGCACGCTTTTGAATTGACTCTGACTAATCATAAGATTTGTTGAAGATGCAGAATGAACTGCGGGTTAGTCTGCTGGAGCAGGGGACAAATCGCGGCATTCGATATCGAACGTAACTCGAATCGAAATTTGATTTTTAAATCGCGGCATTCGCTAATTTACATTATATTGTGCGAGAAAACAGCTGCGATTTTGTTTGATTCGATGCGAAACGAGTAATCACCCGCAATTCGGGCCTTGCTTTTCTACCTAATCGCCGCCAAGGTGGGGTATAACAAGGTGTCCCAGTTTGCCAATAGGACTGCGAGGTTCTTCAACAGTGCTCCTGGTACGCAGAGATTAGCTGTCCAAAGTGGTCGCAGTTTATTTGGTAACACTATGGAGCTGAATGTTCTCTCCGAAGCTACGCAGTGGCTGGCCAGCTTACCTAACTTAACCATAGAATCAATTTTATTTCGACGATGAATATGCCCAATTGTTTTTTAAATACGCTCCGCCAGGCATGTGAAGTTTAATGCAGGGTAAAATTATAAAGTTGAAGTGCAATGTTTCATTTTTTAGATCAGAAGTTGAATGCTCACTTTCAGAATTTTTCGATATAAACCAAAAAAAAAATCGACATAAAATAAAACAGATGCTGCACCTATGAAGAATGCACTCTGCCGGTGGTGAATAAGACAAATGCTTTTATACGCCACTGTATATTTGCTAAAGAGTATAATTTATGTGCTTAAAGCTCTTCACTTCAAGCAAACAAGATAAAAGCGAGACCCTTGCTTGCATTTGCTGCTGAATGCTTATCATTCTGACATCGCTTTTCTATAAAACCTTGCATATAACGGTCGTTGCATTGATGCACTCAATTATTTAAATCAATTACGCACACAAATGTAAAAGTGCGCACACACACACGAGTGTACCTACATACATATGTACATATGTATGTATTAGGATGTAGGTTTGTGCTACTGTAATTGTCCGCTTTAAGTATTTTTTCAAGGGTGATCGCGTCTAATTGATGCTTAAGACAACTCACAATTTGTAAATTGACAAGCAACAATATACTTTTACTCGTTCATAAATAGCGTAAAAATGTTTAAATGGGTGGTGGTTGAAGTAGTGATACAGCGGTGTACGTGGGCTAGCAGTAATTTACAAAAGCTAGCAACCGACCAAGCAATGGACCGACCAAACATTATTGCAAACGCACAGAAGTAACCCGCCAACCAACAGCAGCTTCAATCTGTTTAACTTCAATTCAGCAACTAGATCTTGTTGTCTAGGGAGTTAATTGTTTCAATTACTAATTTGATGACTGACAGCAACTTGACAGTGAGTGACATTCACCATGAATTCTCACGTTATGCTATGTATATAGAATTTTTAA